TTATATATGATTATCCCTGCTTGAAAGGAGATAATACAATTGAGATATTGGAGAACCTAATGTCAAAGGTTCTTTATTGTCAAGCAGAACAAGACATGTAAAGAATCATGTGCCATTCTGCATCGCTACAATGAAGAGATAAGACCTTTTTTGTCAAGTTGTCTGGATAATATATAGAGAAAAATTAAAACATATGGCATTCTGCCTCTCAACACTGAAGAAGCTATATTTCTCTTGATATTTGTTTTTATCTTAATTTTAAAACTGATGTATAACCGATGGATCATATTTGTTAATGAATTTGAACTTGAATATGTACTCAAGTATGTTTCTCATGTCCCTTTTACTAGACGCTTGTTTTGCATTGGTTTTAGAATCTTGCCTATGTGTAAAGGTTATGTGAAAATAAACCTTGCAGTTTTTTCAACTACTTTAAAATGATACTTAAAGTTGCTCCTAATTTTGTTTGTATTAATTGTTACATTCGATTGCTAGATTGTTAATGTTCAGTAATCAATACATTTGTGCGTATATGATCCTTTTTCTAAATTATATTGTTTTTTTTCTTGTCTGCCAAAGATATTTCATTATTCTATGCTGGATTCATCAAACGTTTATTACTTTTAAATTAATGTTCACTTTTTGTATGGTAATATCTTGTGAGCTTCGGTTCTTGTACTTTCTTTTAAGTATTATGGCAATATACTTAAGATATATAAATTCAGTTCCCCAACGGCAATGCTGCTATTGCATTTCGTAGTAGAAAATGAATTTTCTTTGTTTCATATAAATACAAACAAATCTTATATCAGTATTCAAAACTAAAAGAAAAATCACTCTATTTTATGTTAATTACAATGTAATTTTGGATGGCATTTTTGACATTGGTCTTTTCAAACAAATTCGCAAGTATCCCAAAGAATTGGTTCTTCATCAAATTTTCGATGATAAATTAAACTGTACTATATGCTTTCTTTAACTCTGTTTGAAAAGAAGTGAGATTGTTTAACTCTGTATTTAAGTATATAATACTTAACCACTTAGTTTAGGATTAGATAAAGTAAAATAATAAAAGTTGTTTAATTAAAAAATTGATTAAATTTTACTAGTTCATGTTAAATTTTGAATTCTGCTTAAGCCAGTGCTAGGGGCGTGCACGGTAGTTAGCACTTGACAGTACCGTCCATGAACAGGCGCATTTAGAAAGACCACTTTGTTTAACAATGGTCAGCTTTGTTAAGCAACTCATCTAAAGAACTTGGATGTAACTTCTTTACAGATATTTTGTTTACAATAAGAAACTTACAAGTTATCATTACCATGTACTTTAAGGACTTGCTTCCTATAGTTCAATTACTTGTTCTCCATACTTACAACATTAGTTTGTTAAACTCTTTTTGACACGATTATATTATTTGTTTTTACTGCTTCGAAATTGATGATTGTATATGTTCACATGTGTTTTACTTATTGTAAACTGTGATTCGGTCAAAAAGTTCTAAATTTAATTAAATTGTAAAAGTGTTTGAACACTTGAGCATGTAGAATGTCTTATAAGACTAAGGTCATTACTCTTTTAATTAAACGATTATTTAAATTAGAAAAGAAAGCAGACAAATAACTATAACCCAAGATCTAACTAAGTGTGTTTGCATTTATTCATTATCCCTCATGCACAGACTCAATCAAAACGAGTCTGCAATTTTCATGTAATTTTGTTGTGATTAATGTTTCGAGGGATCACTTTGTTTCTAGACTGTTAATACCATCTCTACATAAATTAGACTGGCTAATCCCTAGTCCCATAAGTGTCCAGCTTTATTTGTCATCCAATGAAAACGGTGTAAAACTTCTGTGGGAAAAAAAATCATTGAAGAACAAAAGTCGATACTTTATCAAATTTTGTTCATAGTCGCCCTCTATTTTTATTAGTGCGTCATAGAACCGCGTTCGTAAAAAAGTCATTTGCACGCTCACGAGGGTCAATTTTGTATTTATGGATGACAGATTTACATGTAGTTCAGAATTAAGATATCAACCAAAACAGAGGGTGTACTCTTTGATAATGTATAAATATGACATCCAGAGGAAAGTCAAGTTCATTTTGGTAAAATTAGGATTGAAAATATGTATTGCAATTGCAATTTGTATAAAAAAAATTCCCACTGATGTAATCAAATCCCAATAAATGTCAACAGGTATACATTTTGTATTCGGTTTCTACAACCAAAATAATAATAACATTGTACGTCAATATTGCATTGTATTTTTTGTTAATCACTGTCATTGATGTGGTTCCATTGTCTGGCCAGACACTTCAAAAATGTTAACAAAAATAAAGTTCCATAAACAGCATTACCGCCCACAATCATCCCCATTTGGATTGAAAAGGTCTTTTCGCGCGGAGTGATGTAAATTATGCAAATTTATAAGGTCAATTTTAAACCAACTATTCAGGTAATTGTTGAATCTAACAAGTGACGAAAAAAGTGAATATAAATGAAGCCTTTAAAACCTTCTAAATATGTAAGTATTCACTCGTATATGTTCTACAGAAATTAGAAACTGTCTCCAGTCGCATTCGCCGTTGTCGGAGTTTCTAATTTCTGTAGAACAGCACGGATGAACACTTACATATACGAAGAGTTTTCAAATCGCTTTAGAATTTTGAAATTAAACCAAAACTACGTTAATAAAATTTAGTAAATTATTTCCGTAATATATCATAACGTAAATCTTGTCTGAAAACTATATTTATATTTTGTAAAAGTTGCGTCTATACAATGTAGAATTTTTCTCATGCCTTATTAAGGAAGTATTGAAGTAGTTTAACTTACTTTCTTATTCAGCTTGAAAAACGGAACAAAAAATAAATCACGTTTGGAAACCTTCAGCAAATCGTAAAACAGTAAAAAAAAAACAGGAATAGAAAATCAAAAGAACACTTGACAAGCATGTTATTTTAATAAGACAAAGACATGATAACGAAAAAAGTTGAGAGTTAAAAGTTTCCCCGCACTTCAGTTCATTATTATTCAAATGACGATGAGGATGTTCCACCTTGGACTTATAATTCCCCTGAAATAAATATCAACTTTTCAAATATACAAAGTTATCAAATTCACATGAACATTTCAAAAAGAAAATTATAGCAATTAAGGAAGAACATGAAGATTTATACATATTTATACGGACGGTTCAAAGGACGGTTGCAAAGTAGGTGCGACTGTGTTTGAAAATAATTCAACATCTAGTATGGGGTTATCAGATAATGCAGCAAAATCTATAGATTTAGCATTGTCATACATAGAAGGGCATACCCATGATAAATTTGTTATATTTTCTGACTCGCTTTCTGTTTTAATATCCATTAAAAAATTAAAAAATAACAATATCATGATGAAGAAAACTTCTTTTACGATTTCATGATATACTTAAAATAAAATCTGTTAAATTATATTGGATTCCGAGTCATGTATGTATAAGAGGAAATGAAAAAGTAGATGCTTAAGCTAAACAATCATTAAATTTACAAAAAAACTGACTTATTGTTACCTGCTTGTGATTTTAGAACGGCTATAAGTAAACTCGTTTCATCTGAATGGAAAGCAAATTGGGACAATGCCGTCTAATACACATTTCATGATAAAAACCAATCTCTTGATGTGTCACCATCTCTGTCTTTGTCAAACCGCCATGATCAAACAGTTCTTCTTCGATGCCGCATTGGACACACTTAAGTCACCCATTCTTATCTCCTCACGAATGACAATGCCCCTTTCTGTGTAGCTTACAATGAAAATTTTACTGTCAAGCATTTTCTTCTGGAATGTCATAGTTTTTTACAGGCCCGTTATATATTTTATAATGTAAATTAACTTAAAGAACTTTTTAATACAATACCATCGATTATTTGAAAGAGATATAAGATATTCAAGGATCTAATTGGCTCCTTTTATTATCATTAAGTTTTACATAATATTTTAAGCCTGTTATAGCATTTGGAACGATATGGCCATTTATGTGTTGACGTGTCGCAAAATCCAAAAAAAACAAACAAACAAACAATTAATATGTTTTTCTTGTCTTTCGAGAGTATCGATTCAAGCACATTAAGTTTTGAAAATTGAAATCCGTTTTTACATAAACTTACAACCGAGTTTGAAACTATTATGCAATTTTGTGGTTTTTTTAATTGTTTCCGAAATGGACCGAAGGGAACCGAACTACTCATGTTAAATTGATAATACGCACTGTAAACGATAAAATATTGTCTTTTGTAAAAACAATCTGGAAAAAAAGTGTGATCCATCGAAAGTTATAATCGCAACAAAATAACATAAAAATTGCAGATCCGGTTTAACTGAGACTGTACATGTCGGAATAATGAAAAGTGCACCCCTAGTAAAGGTTATGAGGAATTTTGAAAATTAACATTGAAAATATATTTAGTATGATAATGCATACTGGAAACAACATGTACAGTAATAAATATGCTTATAATTTATCAATTAAATGTGTTGCTATTCAATTACAAAAAAAGTTGAGAACGCTCAACCTTACAACTATAATGATATTGTAGAGATTTTGCCATTGAAATACTGGAAAAGTCATACGATATACTATGTAGGAGGTTAACTCGTTTTTTTTAAATACTTTTTGTTTGTGGAGAAACTGTACTTCTAACAGTTGGGGCTTAACCAAAAATCGATTAATTGACACTTTTCATTTGAAAGAGAACAGTTCATTGATGGTACTCCCCCCAAATATGTCCTCAGAATGTTTATACTTTTATTTTATCATTTACAATTCTGTCATTTAAATTTCTCTTAATTTCTTTTTGAAGCAATTTATTTATTTTTTAACTTGAAACTGAAAACGTGTTTTTTCTATTTAACGTAGCGTTTAGATAAAAAATTACACAAACAACAAACAATGAAACTCTTACGGCCTGGACAGTTTCAAAAAAGAGATATATATATATTTGGAAAATTAGCCTACGATAACATAAAAGTGATTTGATCACAAAAGGCTACGGACCTGTAAGTACATTATAATACGCATAACTCTAAAGATTTGTTAATTTGTTGTATTTTTTCTGTTTGTTTGCTTTGAAAGCAATTTTCAATTTTAAGTCCATTAATTTGTCACGGTTTCTGAAAATATTTTTTGAAAATCAGAACCTACCTTACAATAAGATTTCATTTATAAGTTCATATATTTCGTAAATCATTGGAAAACAAAAAGCACTCGTAAAGACACGATAACAACGATGCTAAATCTTAACTTTTAACTCAATTTTTTTTTTATTTCAATATATATTCTTTGGCATCAACACAATGGTCTAACATAATGCAGGTATGAGATTCATATTGAATTACATATTGTTCCAGATTAAGTACTCTTTCGGTCAGCATCTGTAGATTTACGAAGGGCAACATGGAAAAGTGGTTTCTTTGTGAGTACATTTTGGTGATTACGATACAACACCAAACATTAGAGTAAAAACGTTTTTCAAAAAATACATTGTTTATCACAATTATAATGTTTGATTTTGTTTTGTTTGGTTTTACGATGCACATTAAACTAAAAAGCAAAAACATGGGTAAAAACCACATCACCTGCTGCAGCAAAGGAGATGCATCGATTCCAGTAATTCGCAAATAAACCATGGCTGAAATTCTGATGCATTGCAACATCTCAGCCACAAGGGGTAATTTTAATAATTGCTAAAGTATAGTAGCCTCGGTATATATTTCGACTGCTGAAAGTTAATATTTTATGATAATTGCTGTCACTTTAAGTAAAATAAATATAATTCACGTTTTAAATTGATATTTTTCAAACCGCTTTATAACATGAATGAAAATCTACAATTTCTTTTTTAAAATATGCATTATCTCTGTTTCAAATTGTAGATGTTTCATTGATTCTCCTAGTTTTCCCAGCACGAGACACTGGTAAGTTCATTATTTAACAAAATATGTACTGCAATAGTGTCTCATTTCATTGAAGGTATATTTTTTTCACTTTTTACGACAAAGAGCTTTCCTTAGACAGATCTTATTGTATAACAATTTTTGGAAAAAAAAATAAAAATCAATGCGTACATACAACAAGATGTTAAACAATTTCAGCCGTTTCAACCTTAGTTAAATTGTTTTGCATGATTTTATGTCAGTTTTGCGTGACAAAAACATTTTTATTCATACATGCTCAACAGGAGTTAAAGGAACGGGAAGTGTTTCAACATTTTTATATTTAACACAAATTGGACAAAGAATTGCACATTCAAACGATTTTAAATCTAATTATCAGGATATTTTTATTACCTTTTGCAGATATTTTTATTTTCAAGTGCTTCATTTGGTTGGTATTTACATTTGTTTTTAGGCTTTTTTAACTGAATTGAGCTCCTTTAATGCCGTTTTCTTTATACTTGTCTTTCAATTAACGTTGAACAATTACATTTTATCATAATTTCTGCAGATGCAAATTTAATGGTAAGAAACAAAGTAATAAAAATTATAATATATTATATAATTATAGATAAGTATTATTTAATTTCAACTTACTTTAAAGTTTCTTTCAATTTTTATTTATTTAGCTATACACATATTCACAGATATAACAGTAAACAGTGCAATATTTATATACATGTACTTAAACTTATGGTTGTAGAAACCAAAAGCACAAAATGTCAAACTGTTGACGTTTTTTCAGATTTGGCTATATAAATAAACACCAGTGAGCATTTCTAAATTGATTATCATTGTCAGACACAGGTTCAATCGTAATTTTACCGGATTTTTTTTTCACGGATGTCAAATTTATACATTCGTAATACATGATCAAAGATTACACCTCTGTGTTAACATTTAAAACCACACAAGTAGAGCTACTTTCAAGTCCATTCATTATAGCCAATTCTGTATATAGCTGAATATATATGTAATTCGTGTATTTGATGTTTGTTCACGAGTATGTAATATGTTTATACCGAATAAGACCTTAGATATTTTTGCACTATTTTTACAGTTACAGGGTAGATTTCTATAGCCTTATACACATACTTGCGTAACTATAACTGTCTTTAAATCTTACCCTGTGGATATGCAATGATTTATAGATGAATTATTTCTGACGAGGATATTTTCATCTTTTCAATGATATGTTTTAAATTATTAACAGAAGCAAATCTCACCAAAAGTCAAATACGTGTTTTTATTCAATACAAATGACAACATCAAATAAAAACCTATAGAGTATTAAAAAACAAAAGCCTATAGATTGACTTTCAAATTCAATTTTTAAAAATTTATACCATTTTGGTTAGAAACCTCTCAGTGATTATTTGATACAAAAAAACTCAAGACACAAGTGGAAGTTTAGTTCCTCATATTAATTAATTCCTCAACGCTTACCTTTTAGCCAATCAGCTTCTTTGCTACTGACTAACCTATTATGTCCAGTCATTTCAATAAACTTTTGCCTGGCACGATATTGAATCATAAAAAATACTACTGTATACATTTGAAAATTCACCGTCGAAATTTTTCAGGATTCTCTCAATTCTCAAGTTTCTCTACGACAAGTCTCTATTGTTGTTTATTTTCGTAGCCATTGTCGAAGTATTCTTCAATCGAAAGATTAATCAATGAGAAAAACAGTTGACATGCTTCTCAGAGGTGCATGCGGTTCTATTGGTCGAATCGTGATTATTTTTCATGGCTGGATCTACATTGTAACATTTAAAATAACATGCAAACAGCAAAACATTACATAACATGAACAATATAAAAACCAAAGTACACCAAGTAAAAACTTGCGCTTTTTAGCTGGAGTATAATCCCGATAAATTTCAAAGGTTTTAAAAACGACAATATCACATTCAGAAGAATATTCTTATTCATACTCCCAAATCAGATAATTTCAATGACATATCAGTGTCATATACGGATCTGTGTATTGCCAGTCTTTACCCAGCTCTATCCAGTTCCATAAATCCTACTTCTCATATTCAGTCATCGAATGTGACAAGTATGGTCCAGAGTTTTTGATGCCAACCGCATGATATAACACTCCTGTTTATGTGGAGTTATTATTTGTTTTTAAGGCACAGCAACACATCTAGGTCATATAAAACAAAAACAAAATGTACCTAGAGATACTGACACAAGGGTTAACGTGACATGATTTTTTTATATCTTTTTAACTATAATTATAAAGTTAAAAATAAAATGTTCAAATATGGAATGACAGACTGTAAGAAAAATTCATGATTAAAAAACTGTTCTTAATCATATTTCGTTTACACTAAAAAATTTTCATCATTCACAAATGATAGAAAATAATATTAATATAAAAAAACCTTTATAATCATTACTTCAGGTTTTGCTCAGGCGACAATGTATTTACTTTACTCTTGTCCACTGAGGTCTTCGGAATCCTCTCTGTCCTCTAGCAGCAGCAGCAGCAGCAACGACTGTCCAAGCAGCAGAAAGAGAGACATTTACATTCCGTATGGAATTAGACATACCTATATTCAAATAGGATCTAGATGCCATGACTGGGGAAACTGGAATTATCCTGTGAGTTTGATTAATTTGTTGTCAACTTAAAAAGTATTCAATCACAGAATGGTATTAATCAGAATATGAAAATTTTATTTGATTTAATAAAACGGAAAGTAAGTTTTATAATATGTTAACTTTTCGGATGAGTACTATCAATCAGAATTTGGTATTAAACAGTTGACAAGTTTACATTTACGTTAAACAATTATTATATTCAAATATGTTAATTAAAGCAAAAGTGGCAAATTTAACTTCAGCTAGAGCAAACCTAGATTTGTTTCCAACTTATCATTCTTTGAGTTTGATTCATTAAATAATTCTGAAAAAATACCAGTGAGATATCACAATAATTGTTCGTCCACAGCGGAATATCAGCTGTAGTAGTACAGAACTTTATTGCTGCGTTCAGACAAACAATCTAGAATCATTTGGATGGACATTGTGTGCTGATAGAATCCGTGAGTTTGAATCTGCTTGGACAAATGTAGGAAGAAGCTATAGCGCAACTTCATGGAATTGCCAGGTGTAAGTATTGTAACAGTGACCCACCAAAATGCTCTAAAAAATTGCATTACAATATATCGAAGCAATCATTCAACGATTGTTACGATGTAATAGGATGATTTCTTACTCAATACATATTATATATGTGTTTTCCCGTACATTTAATCAATTATGTAATATTTTCGATCCTTGAAGATCGTTCAGCACGACATTATTGTTGTGTATACATATCATGTGGTACTTTTAGTTTCTTCTATTTGACATTTTTTTCCAATTTGGGTGGTTCCAGTAATCCTAATACTATAGTAATACTTGAATACTATATAATCACCCTTTGGATATGTTGCCTGCTTTTTAAATTTGTCATATTGAAGGTTCCATAAAAATCGCCATAGGGACACATCTGCGGATGTCTCTAAATTTAAAATTTCACCATTTTTCGTGTTTAAATGTTGAATTCTGCTTAAGCTTGTACTAGGGGTCGTGGACGGTATCTTGCACTTTCCAGTACCGTCCATGAACAGGCTCAATCAAACCGAGCCTACAACATTTTCAATTTTGTCGTGTTGGGCTTTCTTTAGGAATTCTGTATTTCTCTAATTTTTGTTCATATTTGTTTAGCTGAACAATTTTACCGATGATGGCTGAGAATTTTTAAAATACATAAACATTAGCATAGGTCAATATATTGGCGTGAATAGGAATTGAACTTTGATAATGAACGTTTTTCAAAATTCGGAAACATAATGAAATGAGATACTTGTGAATTTCAGATATTCCGACAAGATGAAAGAGTTCCTAGACACATGCGACGTCACTGGACTATTTTGTTAAGAAACAAAAACTTTGTAAAGCAAATGGAAATTAAAGTTAACGAAAGGGGTCGATTTCATATTAACTTGTTTTCAGCAGTCATTTAATATTTATTACAGGCTTGCTTGAGTGGAATGTTTAAACATACATATAGCTAATGAACATAATTCTGGAGGTATGCTGCTGTAGACATTATTGAAAGCTATCGTAAGGCTTTTAAATTAATTTTGTATCACAAGTATACTCGCAATGTTTAACTTTTTTGAATAACTCAACATTTTTGCTTATGTGCAAGCATGTTTTATAATAATTTATGAAATAAAGTAATAGTTTAAGGTTTATGCTAACGATCTTTCTAAACACAACCACTTTTTACTGTTAAATAAATTAACTTTCTACAATGTAATTTGTTATTTTGCTCCTGTGTTTTGTTTCGACAAGGACAATATACACGAACACGTGTGAATATGAATGTTTGTAATTTATATGCACATGATATGTATTATTCTAAATTTTTCATGCAATGTATGAAGAAAACATCGGTTTAACTTTTTAATATGTTTTGATTTTGATAGCTGTCAAATATAACATTTAATGTTTTTATAATTTTTAATACCTTCTCCGCTTACATGTGTTATCATCAATATTAAGGTGACAACAGAGTCAATTATCACTGAAAATACCTAAAATGAGATTTTTTGCTAAGTAGATTAAACAACCTTTTCTGAACACATTCGTGATTTAATTTTGGAAGCAGTTAGTCCAAAAAATGTGTTTTTAAACGTTTTAAAACGGTACCTATACTATTTGTATCTGCTATTCGCGTAACCTGTCGATTATCGATAACGCTCCGCCCCCTGTTGAGGCATCAATGAGGGAAATCGGTAGTTCCATATATCCGTGAATTACAGGTCCATACTGGTCCATACTTCTCGTAATACATGTATCGTACAACTACCGTACATCTTTTATGAATATCTCAACATTTAGTCTTTTTTATAAATTAAGAAATTGTCGGCCAATGTACGTAACATAATGTATGAAACATAAATAATTAAGCATAGCGGCAAATCGCACGACCACGGGGTTGATTAAAAATGTAGTTGTTAAAATATCCATAATGTGTGAAAATAATTTGTCTGTCCCGTTAATCTGATAGATATTACATTGAGTTGACAGACTTTTGTACGGATTCAAGGTCTTACTTTACATTCAACCTCGTTTTCTAATAATGTCAAGTAAAACAACAACAAAAACAGACAACATTTTTTATGTGAACGCCTATATGACTTGTGGTAAGGTGTCCGTGACAAATTTCTAAACCATTTAAGATTGTCTAAGGATGATTATTTCTCTATGAATAAAAAAAAGATATAAAAATATATTCTCAGTGAAAATAAATTGTTCGCCAGTTAATCGGACACAGTACTAATAAATCTGGGATAAAGTATGAAATTTATTGTCTATCCCGGTAGAAACTGGATCTCTATGCCGTGCATAGATGATATTCATGATAATAGAAGTCAAGAAGGCCAGATCATAATGATCGAGTAATACCTTTTATTTCTATTAAAATATGTGAAGCATTATCAATTTGGTGGAAAAAATATATAATATCCCGTTCTTATTTGTACATCTACCATGGACTTTAAAAGACTGTCAGAAGCTCATATTTTTGTTATTTTATTTTATATTTTAACGGAATTTCATACACGAATACACAGGCAGAGTTACACTGGTATAATACAATAATAATGCTGATGATAATGATAATAAACTTCAAAAAGGAAACAATTAAATACCCCGCTAGCGGTGCGCAAATGTGTTTCATTTCCCCCCACTGAGTGCCTCAAATTTTACCGATAGTCACGTGACATGTGCGACAGATACCAGACGGGACAGTACATCACGTTAAGAATTGAAGAAATTTCGGCTATAAACTGATATTAATCAGCAGCTTTTTTATTGGTCAGATGTCACTGGGTCATAAAATGTTGTTAGAGTATGTTACCGCAACTTGTGACCCTCTCTGGTGCGATATTTGTGTATTATGCAATTATTTAACGTGAAACGTAGGGGTCCGAGAGAGAACAGCCGATTTATGACACTTCGTTTGAAGCGGGTCGGACTAACTTTGAATCGGCATAACTTTTTTAATAATCAAGCAATTAACATGCGGTTTAAAGCACATGAAAGGAAATTCATTTACGGAGGGAACCGTGTCAGGGATTTTTGTTTGCTCAATCAGCGACTTAATTATCATTAATTACGTAATATGTATGGTGAAAAAAGTCGCATAATATGTTTGACGTTACGTAATATTTTTTTGAGAAAAGATAGAAAAAATTTGAGACACGGTTCCCCAGATAATATAAGTATGGTTATTTTCCAAAAGTTTGATGACAAAAAAATAAAAAATGACTTTGATATGACGATTTAAAATTTTAGGATTTTTATTCAAAATCAATCATTTACAAAGGCATTTTTTTCAAATATGTTATTTTTTATGATGATCAACGACATTTAATGCACAAAGATTAAATAATTAACAATTATTACTAAAATAACTTGGTTTAAATGACATTTATGTGAGTACCACGGAAAGTGTCTGTTGTCACCTTAAATGCATGTGCTATAATACACTGTCTTGTGAAGTTTCATGTTTATGAGTGTCCTGTCCAATTGAATAAAGTGATAAACCTAGCAAATTTATCAAACTATATTATTACTATAATATCATATTATAATAAAAAGAAATGTTTTGCAAAATATTTACCAAATTTGATAATCTTCTGTGGGCAGTTTGTTTGAATATTAACTTCATCCGATTGTCTATATACTTCGTTATGTATTCAAAGTTATAAGGTCATTAATAATGAGGAAAAAGAATATCAGGTGGGTCTAGTACAATTTGAAAGAAAAGAAAAATAAGTGTATATGTTCGAGAAATACAAGCATTTGCATTCTTTGAATAACATTGGAAATTTCCCAACGGGCATATTTTCTTTATCACTTTATTTTCTTTATTAAATTCAGAAAGAAGTATTTATTTTCAAGTGGCCATTACCTTCCGTTTAATTCAAATTGAAACATAATTTTAGACTTTCGGAAATAAAGCTCAATTCTTATAATATGATATACAAACTACTCAGGAAAATGAAGGGTTTCTGCTGAATCATCAATTTATCGACTTTATGACATACCCATGCCGTTTTTACGACTCCGTAAATATGGTATTGCACGGCGTGCATAAATTTTGACGTGACGTCATCTGTGTTACATAAACCCTGATTTTAATTGTATTGTTTATGTCAAAAGCATAATAAGCTTATTGGACAATTAGTAGTGGCATATTTAGTGTTTACAATGTATGAACATGTTTCTGCTTACTTTAAAAAAACAACATTTTTTACGTGACGTAAAATAATTTTGTGACAATATCGGTAATTTTCATTTTAAATAGTTTGTTACTTTTGTCTTCTGATAGATGACATATTTTTTCTGTTAAGAGAAGAAGTATTTCAGATAATTAATGTAAGACTATGTATGTCACAGGTACTTGCAGCGATACAATTAATGACACAATTCTGTTGGAAGTTCGGTAGAATTGTTGCCAAATAAATTTATCCCATTCTATATTCCTTTTGTAAAAAATGACGAATTTTCACATTTTCTTTCTTGAACAGATCCAAAAAAATCAGTGTCAGCTGAAAATTTACCGTCCATCTTTATATACGTTTAGTATAACTGTTAATTTTGTCTGGTTCTTGTTACGTTGATTGCTTATAGAAGATTTCTATCCATTTCCTTTCATTAAAGAATCCTAACAAACCGAGACTTTTTTTTTTTGGAGGATATAATGAAAAACAGTCACCATGAAATTTAGCCTGATATCTAACTGATGTTTAGCATACGTGACTAAACTGTTTATAGTGAAATATATAAAGATTGATTAAAATTCACGTCTACAATTAAATATTTTATTTTTATTTTCAAAAACAAAATGCTAGCATGTTTAAATTTTCGAGCTTAACAATGAATATTTTTTAAAAAGTAAAACAAAATATAATAGAAAGAAACATTGACAGATGCATGAAAATATATATGTATATATAAAAAAACAAAATACGAGCTTATCAATCATGAAAAGGTAGAAATTCTCCATCAAGTTGATCTTTAACTAGCAGAAACGCAAGTGGCATCTCCATTGATATATTGTTATTGGGAAAATAGGCGTGAGGAATATTCCATATCTCACCTGATATTTTCTTGAACAAGTTTTGGTTAAAAGGACGAACACATACTCGTGATAATACCATTGCATAAATTATTGTTATTAAAGGAAGAAAATGATTATCCATATTCAAAATAACTGGATATAAACAATTTTACACTCAGTTAAAATTTAATAATGTTCTATACTATTATCTAATGTGCGCATGTTTAATGTTTAAGTAACCTCAAAAGAAAGAACACATCTAAACTGCAAAAGCTGCTTACCATCGTAGTTTATACGAATTTATTTTAGTTCGTTAGGACTGGAAGTTATAAGCTTATTGAAACATTACCGAAACCACCGCTGACGGAATAAACCAGTAATAAGCAGTGTAAAGTTTCTAGCTTTTGGACAAAACGGCTTGCCCATGACGGGGTTTGATACCACGCAACCAACTAGTACGACACATTTACGGCTATGCTGCTACCCTCTTTTAAAAATAAGCCATTAAAATTGAATACTTTTCAATAATCAAAGGTAGGAAATATTAAACAGCTGTCTTGGAAACAATATTTAAATGGCGTTTAACATAATAAATGCTATTTCTAACTTGTATTTGTGTATTAAAACTTTAAATTTTAACGAGTATTTTTTGTCAACTTGGTTGTATATAGTATAAAAATACAAATGGAATAAAAGTATAAACACACTGAAAACAGTTATTGTATGCACGATACTATAATTTCCATAAAATTTGAACTTAACAGTGACAATTTGTAGTGCTTGACATAAGAGGTTTAAGGGAACACTTATTTTTACAGACACTTTAAACTTTTATGTCATTTAAAATTAAGGCCCCTCGGTATTTTTAAACTTTGGGTTTATCAACACTGTAAATGTTATATGGCGATGTTCCAGCATTACTGGTGGAGGTAGGAAAGTGAATTAAACATTTAGGCAACAGGCGCATCTCCTCTCAATATAATACAGTCTATTTTAATGCTTTGAAATTGGCATAAAACATGTGTTAGGCGACCTTTTTTATCAGAAATAATATTTAAAAAAAAAAAAAAAAAAAAAAAAAAAAAAAAAAAACAGCATTCAATGTGAAACAAAAAAAAACACAAATGAGAGCTACTTTACTTCCAAAGAATGCATCGCTACAATTGAACCAAAAATGAGGTCAGTTCATATTTTGATATTTACCTAAGCTGTAAAGTTTTAATTTCTCACACAGCGACCCTTATAATTTATACAATATACGTTTTTTAAGTATTATATTAAATTCACAGTTGTCCAAACCTGCTCATTAGGCGAGTCCTCAAATTATTGAACCGCAAGAGAACAATTATCATTTTAAAATTTA